TATTTTGCTTTCTATGAGAACTACATTATCCTTTGAGACACTTGCTCTATTCCACACTTGTGAAAATTATGTTTAACTATATACTAGAAAAACTTGTTTATGAAATTATACTTATGTACATAAAAACTAAGCAATGTAATCTCAGATGACTCTATGTTCATCATGAAGATAATTAGAACGTTTTACTTTGTATTTTTTGCAAGATGCAGTATAGTTTAGCTCTTCTCTTTGTTTATATTTTTGAAAGTTCTGACAAGTGTGGATAACAGAGGCTGTGAAATATTCTTCAGAAGACACTGGAATTTATTTCCATGTAAATAATAATTACATTGCAACATTTCTAAGGGCATTTAATAGGGAGGTATATTCTCCTTATATGAACCCTAGAGAAAGTAAAACTAGATTATCAAATACGCAATAAGTTCATTTCAACCCTCGGTATTTTGATAACAATCTCTCTTAGATAACATCTGCTACAGAGTGCATTTTATCACATCCCTAACATGTGAAACATTTCATCCATAGAGACACTAGAATCCATTCAAATATGATGAATTTTAGATAGGGAAATTAACATTTTAAGTATTTCCAGGTACAATGATCAGAACGTCCTGGTGTATCACACATACGAATACAAGAAAATATATCACATTTTTATTATTTTATTTATTTATTTTTTTCTCTACGTGGGCCTCTCATTGTTGTGGCCTCTCCCGTTGCGGAGCACAGGCTCCGGACGCGCAGGCTCAGCGGTCATGGCTCACGGGCCCAGCCGCTCCATGGCATGTGGGATCTTCCCGGACCGGGGCACGAACCCGTGTCCCCTGCATCGGCAGGCGGACTCTCAACCACTGCGCCACCTGGGAAGCCCTCAACTACACTTTTTTTGAACACAGACAACAATATGTCTCCCACAAGAAATGCACTCCAAAACTTTACACAGTAAAAAAAGCATAAAAAAATACACCATTTCAACACCATTCAAAATAGTGGCTAACATAATACAAAGTAAACCAAAGAGTAAATAATGTGTCAAGAATAAGGAAATCTATTTTATAATCATAAAGACAGAAATTCATCAGAATGACATGGCATTTCATTATAGCCACAAAAATATTCTGGAGAAAAGTTTGGAGACAACAACACAAGGATAAATAATCTACTGATAAGTTTTTCGAAGCCATCATGGATAGAAATTGTTAGATTCTCTAAAGCCCAAGAACCTACGGATGCACTGTTACCTTCTGGTATAAAGTACCTAGGTGGAAGAAAACTGTGGTGGTGAAAGGAACATGATTCATTAGGATCATAAAAAATAATTAAATTTTATTAATTAAAACAAGAGACCTATGATACATTCTGAATAAAACAGTAGCAAAAGGCAATGACAGCAGTTAAATGTCAAATATACACATAGAATTCTGGGGCTTTATTTTTTTATACACTTATTTATTTTATTTATTTATCTTTGGCTGTGCTGGGTCTTCATTGCTGCATGCAGGCTTTCTCTAGTTGCAGCGAGTGGGGGCCACTCCTCGTTGCGGTGCGCAGGCTTCTCATTGTGGTGGCTTCTCTTGTTGCAGAGCATGGGCTCTAGGCATGTGAGCTTCAGTAGTTGTAGCACGTGGCCTCAGTAGTTGTGGCTCCCGGGCTCTAGAGCACAGGCTCAGCAGTTGTGGCACATGGGCTGCAGTTGCTCCGCGGCATGTGAGATCTTCCCAGTCCAGGGCTCGAACCCGTGTCCCCTGCATTGGCAGGTGGAGTCTTAACCACTGTGCCACCAGGGAAGCCCTAGAATTCTGGGACTTTTGATTAAATTTTCCTCTTGTGATAACTGCTCTCCCTTTAATTTCGAAGAATAAGACTAGTTTTTCATTAATCATAGATCTATACAACAGCTATTCCCATGCAATGGAGGAAGTGACCAAATTTTCCCATGCATTCTGCCTACCACATAATCAGTCCCTGTTAACCTGTCACTCTCCTCCCATGAAAAGCCCATTCCCTTAACGTCCTGCCTGACCTATTCATGGTCAGTTAGTAAAGCATTCTGTCCTATAACCCACTATGACCTATCTACAAAAAGACACATGAGGCTTCCGTGGTGGCACAGTGGTTAAGAATCTACCTGCCAATGCAGGGGACACGGGTTCGAGCCCTGGTCTGGGAAGATCCCACATGCTGCAGAGCAACTAAGCCCGTGAGCCACAACTACTGAGCCTGAGCGTCTGGAGCCTGTGCTCCGCAACGGGAGAGGCCGCGACAGTGAGAGGCCCCCGCTCGCCACAACTGGAGAAAGCCCTCGCACAGAAACGAAGACCCAACACAGCCAAAAATTAATTAATTTTTTAAAAAGACACATGAATTAACATGATAAATCATGTCACAGTTTTACATTATTTTTTGTCCCCCCATGTTGATAATTCAAACAATATTGCATTTGATAATTCAAGGTCCTTGTTTTCTCAGGAAACATGGATGTGACTGACCCACACCTAATCAAATTGGACCCCTCATTTTATAGATTCCTTCCCAGAGACTATCATGAAAGACCTGTAATGCAGGCATAAGGTCAAGACTTCAAACTTCAGGTTGAAAGGTTATAAATATAATGTAGTCTTTTCAAAAGAACTCCAATAATTACATATTTATACAGAGAAGATACTGGCATACTTCTACATATGTCCTTCTTCTGGTACTACAAACATCATGTCATACGTTTTAACGTATTGTCACTTGCAATGATTCTGCAGCATACAGTATCTCACATTAACCTTGGACAAATAAGACATTTATTCCTAGTATGGATTCTCTGATATGTTATCTGTTGTAAGAATCGCTCAAAAAATGTACCTAATTCAAAAAATTTACTTAATGTAAATTAAGTAAATTAAAATTTACTTAATGTAAATTAAAATCCTTACATTCGTAAGGATTCCCTCCCAATATGAATTCTTTGGTGGACCCTGAGGATGCACTGTTGGGTCAATATCTTTCCATGTTCAGTAAATATCTATCGTTTCTGACCTGTATCAATGCTCACATTACAACAAAGGTGTGGATAGCTGATGAAAATTTTTACAACATTCATGACATTTGAAACGTTGCTCTTCAAAATACATTCTCTGTTTCAGAGCGTTGATCTTCAGGTACAAGCCTTAGCACACATACTGCTTTGTGTGCTTTCTCTCAAAGATATACATTGAGAAATCTAGTGCATTGTGAGGCCTGGATAAAGCCTCTGCTCATACATTTGAAGGGTTTCTTTTCAATGGACCGTCTGCAGTTAACTAATACTTGAAGTCAAGAAAAGGTTTTGTCACACTCATTTCATTTATAAGGTATCGCTCCAGTATGTCCCACCTTGTGATCTTTGGGTAAAAGCCTTGCCACACACATTACATTTGTGTCTTAACTACTGGATCGCTAGGGATGTCCCTAAAGTGTCAATTTTGAACGAAGACCTTTCCACATATATCACATTAATATGATTTCTCCTCTGTATTTATTACCTGATTTGTAGTACGGGTTGAGATCTCACGAAAGGCTTTCCAACACTCATTACCTTTTAGAGATTTTTCTGCATTATGAATTCTCAGATGAATTGCAAGGTCTGAATTTCAACTATAGACTTTGCCAAATTCATCACATTTATATTGAGTTGGCCAAAAAGTGCCTTCTGTTTTTAAGAAAAAATAAAAAACACATTTTTTTCATTTTCACCAAGAACTTTATTGAACAACATACACCCTTTTGTTCCACTACCTTCTGCCATTTTTCAGGAAACTTCATAATTCCAACTTCCCAAAGCTTTTCATCTTTTTGAGCAAAGAACTGTGCCAGTTGCCTTTTACAGTCTTCCAGGGAATTGAAATTTTTTCCATTAAGAGAATTTTGTAAAGACCGAAATAAACAGAAATCCATGGCGCCATGGTGAATATGGCAGATGAATTAGAACTTCCCAGCCAAGCTGTAACAGTTTTTGCCTGGTCATCAAAGAAACACGTGGTCTTGTGTTATCCTGATGGAAGATTATGCGTTTTCTGTTGACTAATTCCGGATGCTTTTCATGTAGTGCTGCTTTCAGTTGGTCTAACTGGGAGCAGTACTTGTTGGAATTAATCGTTTGGTTTTCTGGAAGGAGCTCAAAATAGAGGACTTCCAATCGCACTGTAGACACATCATCTTCTTTGGATGAAGACTAGCTGTCCGTGTGGTTGGTGGTGGTGCACTTCACATGGCCCACGATCTCTTCCATTCCACATGATTGTACAGTATCCACTTTTTTTTCTTTTTTTTTTTTTTGCGGTAGGCAGGCCTGTCACTGTTGTGGCCTCTCCCGTTGCAGAGCACAGGCTCCAGACGCGCAGGCTCAGCAGCCATGGCTTATGGGCCCAGCCGCTCCGCGGCATGTGGGATCTTCCTGGACCGGGGCACGAACCCATGTCCCCTGCATTGGCAGGCGGACTCTCAACCACTGCGCCACCAGGGAAGCCCCCAGTATCCACTTTTCATCACCCATCACAATTTATTTTAAGAACACAACTTTTTATTATGTTTAAGTAGAGAATCGCATGCAGATATACGGTCAAGGTTTTTTTTTTCGCTTAACTTATGTGGAACCCAAGCATCAAAGCAATTCATATAACCAAGCTGGTGCAAATGATTTTCAACGCTTGATTTGGATATTTTGAGTATGTCGGCTATCTCCCACGTGGTATACTGTTGATTGTTCTCAATTCATGTCTCAATTTGATCACTATCAACTTCAAATGGTCTACCTGACCGTGGAGCATCACCCAGTGAGAAATCTCCAGCACGAAATTTCGCAAACCACTTTTGACACGTTCGATCAGTCACAGCACCTTCTCCATACACTGCACAAACCTTTTTTTGCGTTTTGGTTGTGTTTTTACCTTTCTTGAAATAATGAAGAGTAATATGCTGAAAATTGTTGCTTTTTTCCTTCCATCTTCAATATTAAAATGGCTACACAAAAATTCACCAATTTTTATGTCTTTTTTTAAAATGCACGCTGATATCGCAGCTGTCACATAAAATCTAACAAAATTGTTTGAATGAAGTTAAAGACAACTAAGTGCTCCTAGAGCCACCTTACGGAAAAAACTGAACCTTCTGGGCAACCCAATATAATTTCTGTCCTGTATGGATTCTCAGGTGTTGAGTGAGGGCTGAGATGTGATAAAAGGTTTTGCCAAACTCATTACTTTTGTATCAGCTCTCTCCGGTGTGAATTTTTTGATGACTTACAAGGTGTGATTTTTCACTAAAGACCATGGCACACTCATCACGTTTGTAAGGATTCTCTCCAGTATGAATTGTCTGGTGTCTTATAAGGTGTGCTTTTCGACTAAAGAACTTATCACACCCGATACACTTGTAAGGTTTCTCTCCCGTATGAATTCTCTGATGTCTTGTTAGGTTACTTTTTCGACTAAAGAGCTTGCCACACTTAATACATTTGTAAGGTTTCTCTCCAGTATGAGTTCCCTTATGACTTTTAAGGTGTGCTTTTCGACTAAAAAACTTACCACACTCAATACATTTATAAGGTTTCTCCCCAGTATGATTTCTCTGATATCTTGCAAGTAATGAATTTTGAGGAAAGACATTTTCACACACATCACATTTATGTAATTTCTCTTCTGTATGGAGAAACTGATGTCTGCCAGGTTTTGAGCTGTAATGAAAGATTTTCCCACACTCATTACATTTGTAAGGTTTCTCTCCAGTATGAACTCTCTGATGCTTTCCAAGGTTTGGCTTTTGAGAAAAGAACCTGCCACAGTCATTACATTTGTAAGGTTTCTCTCCAGTATGAATTCTCTGATGACTTTCAAGATTTGAATTTCGATTGAAGACCCTGCTACACACATTACATTTGTAAGACTTCTCTTCATTATGAACTCTCTGATGCTTTATAAGGTATGCCTTTTGATTAAAGAATTTGCCACACTCATTACATTTATAAGGTTTCTCCCCATTATGATTTCTCCGATATCTTGCAAGGAATGAATTTCGAATAAAGACATTTTCACATACATCACATTTATGTAATTTCTCTTCTGTATGGAGAAACTGATGTCTTCCAAGTTCTGAGCTGTAATGAAAGATTTTCCCACACTCATTACATTTGTAAGGTTCCTCTCCAGTATGAGTTCTCTGATGACTTGCAAGGTGTGAATTGTGAGTAAAGACTTTTTCACATACATCACATTTATGTACTTTCCCTCCTGTATGGAAGATCTGATGTCTTTTGAGGTATGATCCCTGAAGGAAGGTTTTGCCACACAGATTACATTTGTAAGATCCTTCCCTGTGTGCTTCCTGTTCTTGTGTCACTACTGAAGGACGCATAAAACTACTCGCATGTGTACTAGAAATGTTGGTTTGCACACTAGAAGAAGTTCCTTCAAGTGGTGAAAATGAGGCACTACTCCTGATATCCTTGTCCACTTGAATAAATTCATCAATCTTCTCTTCACTTTTAAATATATGCAGTTCAACCCAAAAGCTTAATGCCAGCCTATTTTCAATAGGCTTGATTCCTGCAACACTTCTAACATGTTCCTCTCCCTTCTCAGTGAGATTTTCGTTATAGGTTATAGGTATTTGGTTGTAATCACTTTCCTCATCTCTCTTCTGAGACACTAAGTCATACATATTTTCTTGAACATCGCTGAGGTAAAAATGTTTCATTTCATTCCTTTCATGTCTTTCTGACATCACGGTTTGGAATACTTCTCCTCTATCAGTATTTGCTTTCAGTTGTAATATCTTGATCACATGCATGTAAGAGATATCTACAAGATATAAAGAACCGTAAGTATCCCATTCACTACAATTCATGAATAAATGTTTCAGGTTAAATAAGCCATATTAAACCAAGTAATACTTCTATCAAGCAAAGTTATGAACCTCACCAACCATGATATTACAATTTGAAGAAACACAATAGGAATGATTCTTTACTAAAGCTAAAGTCATCAGAGGTAATTCCAGTAATTTTATGGCGCACTTTTAAACAACCTATGACAAAAATACTCACGTTGGAAAAACTGCTGTTAGCTATCAAAGTGTAGTTTTCACCCATGATGCCAACCAAAGCACATACCAATTATCAGTAAACATACTGGTAATCTTTACTCGAGTAGAAAAGGATATTAAACTATATGTGTGTGTGTGTATGTATATATATTTTCAGAATACTTATTATACATGAATAAATACTAAAGAACCAAAAATATATTGTAACAATAAATAAACCAAAACTAGCTTATCTAATGAATAATCTAAATGACTGCCACTTTAGAACTGGGAAACAAATATAACACAGAGAAAATGAAGAATTTGATAAATTTTTTTTTTTTTTGACCAGGCCCATGTGGCATGCAGGATCATAGTTCCCCGACCAGGGATCAAACCAGTGCCCCCCGAATTGGGAACACGATGTCTTAACTGCTAGACAACCAGAGAAGTCCCAATAAAACATTTTTTTAAAACAACTAAATATTTCTAAAAACCTCCTATAAAACTATGTACCCATGAAGAAGCATAAAACATCTGTAAGATCACCATCTGGAAATCAAAATTAAATAAATTAATTATCAATAAATGAAACATTCTCCAGTTATATGAACAGCCAATAAATGAGCAACTCCCTATGTATGCAGGGACCTTAAACATCCAGTTCATTGGCTCTGGCATACATGTAATGAAGAATGAGCAACTTGTAAATTTATTTAATTATGGTCAGATACAAAATTGTGGGGAACAAATTGCAAAAATAAGGTATACAAGATATAATGCAAAGAGATAGTATAATAAAAATAACAGAATAATAATATATCTTTTCAACCAAAATAACTTTTGAGTTTTTACTATAAAAAATACACTATTCAAAGCCATCTAACAGTACTTATTCCTTTGAAAAGGCTTGAGGAAAATTATCAAGATTTTTCAAGGAAAGGAAGTAGACTCAAGAGGATTACGTACATGAACTCAATAGACAAAGAAACTACTGAGACAACCAGGATGTGCATCTGGACTTACAGTGTGAGAAAACATATTCTTAAGATGACCCTCAACCCAAGCAGCCCACCAGACTAAAGTACCAAGAGTTAAAAGTTCTGGCTAGGAAAAAATGCTCCTATTGACAATTTTTTACAGCATGTCAATGTGGTGAAATGTTTACATACATTCTGGGTATATCTGTAAAATCAGAATTCTTAGGTGTGATATTGTGATTTATTAAAAATACGGACTCGGTGATTGAGATGAGAAATTCATTACTCCCACTCACAACTTATCTGCCAAAACTGGTCCCTTGGCTTGCCTTGATGGAACGGGGCTGCGAAATTAGACAACGGGCAAAAAGAGTAAGAGACGTTTCACTAAAATCAATATACAGAATAAAAGTAGGAAAAAGAAAATATATTTAACATCACCAACCAGTGTGAGACCTCTGAGTTTTCTGTTTCCTCCATGTGAACCCCCGACTGCCTTCAGGCGTCATAAAAAAGGGAAAGTCTCTACTACACTCTAGTGATATTCATTAGGAACTTGTAATTGTCTGTGGGAACTGGCAAATGGGAACAAAGTTTTTCAGAAACATTCTGAGCTCACCAAGTGTGCACTGTCATTGAAACACAGCTGAATTGATGTTGCGATTCTAGGAGATGGTATGTCAGAATAAAAAACACATCTTAGAGACTGGCTGTGTCCCTCCCACCCAACACTCTTACACTACACTAAGTCCACAGTTCTAGCAGCAGGAAGGCATCAGCAAAGTACTTTGCTGAGGCAAAAGAGTATGTAAGGGGAAAAGCAGTAAATGCTCAAATCTCAAACACGCAATGCTCTAGGGTAGAAACTAATCCAGTGGCAAAGACACAGAGGAAGGAAGAATAATTCTGAAAAATCAACGGAGTTTGTGGAGAAAAATTACAGTTCCTGAGGACCACAACAATCCCTGACTGGTACTACTATAATTTAACGTAATGCTCACTGATGGTGGTTGTGGATGGTGGTTATCTATGAAGCATGTAATATGATATTAAATTTATCTATAACTTTTTTTTTTTTTTTTGCGGTACGCGGGCCTCTCACTGTTGTGGCCTCTCCCATTGCGGAGCACAGGTTCCAGACGCGCAGGCTCAGTGGCCATGGCTCAGGGGCCCAGCCGCTCTGCAGCATGTGGGATCTTCCCGGACTGGGGCACGAACCCGTGTCCTCTGCATCGGCAGGCGTACTCTCAACTACTGCGCCACCAGGGAAGCCCCTATCTATAACTTTAAATCTAATTTGCCTGATATAAAAGAGCCCTGACACTATTTTCGTGGTAATAGAGTAATTGCTATAAAATGTCCATGATATAACGAAAATATTTTTCTAAATAACTCCTACAAAACTATGCGCCCATGAAGAAGCAGAAAACATTCTGAAATGTTATATCATCTGTAAATCAAAATTAAATATTAATAAATGAAATATTCTCTAGTTATATTAACAGCCAAAGTCTGAGCATTTTAAGGATATAATTACATTAGTTAAGAATGTGAACACAAGAAAGAATGCTACTAAAATATTAACTATAAATATACTTTAAACAAAAAATGTATTGGCTTTAGAATATCAAAAGTTCATGCTAACACTCCAGGTGATCAAACATTAAAATTAGCCTACCCCTCAAATTACTAGAAATCATACCATTATATTTTTTAACACTAGCTTTGCAAGGAAAAAAATGAAACCAATGAGGAGTGATATCAGCCGGATAGCAGAAAAGTAAACAAGAGGCACTCATTAACATATGTGGAACCCAAGTTTAAAACAATATATAAACATACAAGCCTTTGGGAAAACTCTGCAAACGAGTTAATAAGCGATACCACTCAAGCAACTACCTATCCCAAAAACACTAAACAGAAAAGTGTAGCAAAGTTCATGACAATTTGCTGGTCTTTGACTCCCCAGTCCTTTCTTAAATCACATTGAGACTGAACTGGAGGAAACCTCCCAATTTTCAGAGGTGCCCTCAGGAGGAATGATAATAAAAACCACAATGAGATATTACATCATGCCTCTTAGAATAGCTCTCATTAAAAAGACCAGAGGTGACAATTGTTATTGAGAATGGGGATAAAATGGAATTCTAGTAACTCTGAGACATGGGTTTGTGGCATTCCTCAAAATCAGAAAAAAAACCTGCAAAGACTTATCAGTCAGGCTCTGTTGATACTTTCTCACATCCATGATGACCACTCCACTACATAGCTTGAAGTGATTTGTACATAACAGAAAAATATTACAGGGCTTCCCTGGTGGTGCAGTGGTTAAGAATCCACCTGCCAAAGCAGGGGACATGGGTTCGAGCCCTGGCCTGGGAAGATTCTTCACGCCACAGAGCAACTAAACCCACGTGCCACAACTACCTAGGCTGCACTCCAGAGCCCGTAAGCCACAACTACCGGGCCCACATGCCACAACTACTGAAGCCTGCGCGCCACAACTACTGAAGCCTGCACACCTAGAGCCTGTGCTCCGCAACAAGAGAAGTCACCACAATGAGAAGCCCGCACGCCACAACAAAGAGTAGCTCCCGCTCGTCGCAACTAGAGAAAAGCCTGCGTGTAGCAATGAAGATCCAACACAGCCAAAAACAAACTTAAAAATTTTTTTAAAAAGAAATGGCTCAGGGATCTAAACAAGAAGACAGGGATTGAGACAGATCAATGCAGGTTCTGAGGTGCCAGATGGAATCAAAGAGCAGCCAGTGTTTTCCCATCTTCTGATGAGGCTTCCTAAAAATATCAAATGGGGACCGAAGCAGGAAATGTTCAGGGATCGATGACTGGACTGACAACTGAGCATACAGTGGAACCATGCGCTGAAGGAGAGATGAAAGGGCAAGGGACCTTCATAAAACAGCCTGCCTCATGCTCCTCAACGACAAGCAACAGCAAGTTCACAGGAGCCAGATGGCGAGTGTCGTAGATCATGATAAAAATTGTGCTTTTGTGTCTGTTTGAGCAGCAGACCCACTGGGGGGTGAAAGTATACATTTTACGTGTTGAAGGACAGAGCCCTGTAACTGTCTGACTAGGGCACAGTTGCCAAACACTATTAATAATGAGGCCTCCCTTCTGCCTTACTGAGATCTGACCTGTGTTCACACTTTGATACATCCCCAAGCTGCATTCATGCCACTCCACAGCCCAGCATTCTGCCTCTTGCTACAATACGGGTAAAATATCCGGATGATAAACAGAAATTCCTATACCTGAGAAAAAAGAAACATGGTTTGCTGTGGATTTTCCAGAATCATGGTTCTTTATTCAGCTAAGGATTGACGACACTACTGAGGGGTCTAGAAAAATATTTCAGAAACTTACCCACTGCTTGCCTCCTTCTGAATACACAGGGAACAGTTAAAATGCAGAAATCCACTCCCTCTTGAGAGAACACTGGAATCACAACTAACTGCTGAACAATCATCGACAGGAAGACACTGGAACTCACCAAAAAAAGATATCCCACATCCAAAGACAAAGGAGAAGCCACAATGAGACAGTGGGAGGGGCGCAATCACAATAAAATCAAATCCCATAACTGCTGGGTAGGTGACCCACAAACTGGAGAACACTTATACCACAGCAGTCCACCCACTGAGGTGAAGGTTCTGAGCCCCACATCAGGCTTCCCAACCTGGGGGTCCGGGAACAGGAGGAAGAATTCCTAGAGAATCAGACTTTGAAGGCTAGCAGGATTTGACTGCAGGACTTTGACAGGACTGGGGGAAACA